TTGCACTCCTTCACACCTGCACCCGGGGGCGACTGTCCCCCTCTTGCTATGCCACTGTAGAAAAATACAGATAATTTTGTAGTTGGTAAGTTATGAAGACATAGTTTTGAATGTATTTTAGTTTTAGCTTTAAATTATGAATTTGTTTGTTATTAATTTTTTAAAATAAACTTTAATGAAGTTTAATATGTTTTAAATATTAAATATGCAAAAAGTAATTTTTATAGGTTGAATAGTAAAAGAATATTTAATTTTAAAATTCAAAAATTTAAGAAAATAAAATCTCAGCACTTGGACCTAAAGACTTTCATATAGATCTGAGTGAGGTAAGAAAGGTGTTGGTATCTTATGTAAGTAGACAGGTGACTTTGTAGTCAGTAGATAGGGATGAAGAGGTTGAGGCTGTGCAAGAATAGTCTGGTTTTCATAGACAATGTTGTTAATTGACCTCTCTGATGTTAAGTTCTAACAAAAACAAAAGTATGGTTCACTAAATAATAAAACAGATTATGTAAAATACTGTTTGCAAGTTGTTTTTTATTATTATATACAAAACTTCAGAATATACTGTTATTATTTATTCATTTTTAGCCATGTCAAAGTGATGAGAGGTCATGGAGGGCCTGTATACAGCCTGGCTTTTGTTCCAAGAAGTAATATATTGTTATCTGCTTCAGAAGATACAACTGGTAAGTGTGGTAGGAAAATATTAAAAAACATATATATATAATAAAAGAAGTTTTGTTACAATCTGAGTTTTCTGAGAATCTTGATGAAGAGGAGATTGTGTGTCTTTAAAAAAATTAGTTAATACCTGTTTTCACTTGTTTCCCAATTGAAGATATAAATAAAACATTCATAAGTTACATTTTTGTATAGTAAGTTTAAGCATGTGAAAGTCCAGGATTTCTATTTCATTAAAACGTTTTTTTCATCTGATAATTTCAAAAAAGACAGGGATAGAAATAATAAGATAACATGCACTTGAGAGAAAGCTATCAGGAAGATTACATTCCCTTATGTAAAGTTGCATTTCCTTGTGAATTGTTTTTTATTTAATCTATGCAGTATGTTCACTTTCATTGGTCATAATTAAAGAAATATGGATGGAGCATGCATTCTCGATCGGGAAAGTCAACTAAAACAGATTAAATTACTCAAGCAAAGTTAAATTCCTTGGAAATGCTAAGAATGTAATATTTCTATCCCAAAAAGAGTACTTGTATGATATTGACTAATGCTATTCTATATCTAGTTTTGTAATAATAGCATCACTGAGGACTTGTGTATTCACTTTATTGTTTGTCTTTGAAATTTTTATTCTGCTAATCAACATAAACTCCTAGATTCCTAAAAGCCTGTAGTTGTTTTGTTATGTGAAGAATTTGACTTTATGATGTTAATGAAAATTACTTTTAGTTGTTATTGTATTTTTTTATTAAAATACTTTCTTATTTAGTAACTAATAAAGTATATTAGAGAGATCCAAAATAAGCCTTGGGGATGTGAGAGTATAGGGAGGAAGCTGAAGACTGACTTGGGGAGGAAAACCATGATAAAAAAAAGGCACCTAAAAATTTATTCAAAGTTAATTGATTTTTGCATTAAAATAATGGGTGCTACAAATATCTTTGGTTAAACTTTTTGCAAGAAGTAAAGCTGCCACAAAACCACATGTGGAACATTCTGGAAAGTATAGTATTTAATGGGTAGTTAGTATACAGCAAGTTCCACAAAAATAAAACAGAATGACAAAGGGATTTATTTTCTGTTTACTGGAAATCAAATAATCTTGTTTTTTTGGTATAACAAAAAGAACTTAAGCATAATATTAACAATTATAATTGAATGAATTACTATATATTATATGTGAATATGTATCTAAGGATTCTATTTAATCAATCAAGAAGCTATGCAACCAGTTTTTCAAAGGTTTATCTTGTATATGCCTGTATTTTTTACTCTGAACTATTAGATATCATTAAAAATATGCTTTATGATGAAAAAATACTAATGTTTTGATAAGTATCTGTTCAAGGTCTGGACTGTGGTTTATTGATATTGAAAACTCCCTTTAAAAATTATGCATTTTTTTTTACATCCATGCACAACATTATGCAGGTTGATAATGTTGAAAGTAAACTCAATAATATCATTTCGAATGTTGAACTCAAGCTGTGTAGAACCTCTAGTATTATACAATTATTTTCCAATATTTAAGACGCATTGTGTAGACTTCTGTGTTTTCATAGAAATTTTGAAACTTTCAATATGTTTTTTATTTGTGACTTTCTCTAATTTGTTGAAAACTGTTATCTCCAAAAACTGAATTAAAGAAACCAAGCATACTAAGCTTGGTTGTGCAGAGAAAAGTTCATTGTTGTGCAATGAATGTGAGGTACTCATTGCAAATTCCATGTTGCAGCCATTCATACACACATTCATGAAATACCAGAAAAACTGAGACTAAATTAGTTCAAAGAAATATCATTAATATTCCTAATGCTTGTATAGATGAGTATTGTTTTTTATTTTCTATAAAATATCATTAGTGGTCTATAGCCTCAAATTGTATTGAATAATACAGTTCAGACTTACATTTAGCAAATTCTACAACCAACCATTAACCCATTCACTGTGGCTGTCACTTATACGGATCAGACTTTTTTCTTCTTTACACTGTGGCAATGCTGTATATGGGAATTAATTTTGAAATTTCTCGTATGAACTGGTAAGGGGTACTTACAAGTATTGAAACACTCTCCATCCCCCCCAAACTTGTTACGGAGCAATGGGTCAATCATTTTGTTTGTCTTTTCTTGTCAGTTTACCACAGGATGTCAACAAAATCCCATGATATATAGCTGCAGTGTACAGAGGGAAAATGTCTGACATGTATGTGTGACAGCTATAGTGAATGGGTTAGTTATTGTTGAGTTCTTAGGTATTACTCTTAAATCTTTGTGATATTTTGCTATTTGTCTTATGAAATCAATGCATGAGTTGTATTCTTGAAACAGTTTGGGTTATTCTTTTCACTGGCTTTTCCTTATGTGAAAAAAACAACTTGTCAACACCAGACTTTTAAAGTCAAAACTTTTATTTCCACTTTCATAGCATTTACAAAACAGTGAAATTGCAAGCCTAAAGTGGAACTTTTCTAAAAATTTCCAATAAAAACATTATTTCATATTCTAAGACATCAATATTTAGTATCAGACAGTGATGAACCTGTCTATAAATTTTGGGGATTTGTTCCTGTGGCCTCACACAAGTCAGTTTCTTTGGAAACCAAAGTTGTAGAATCACTGGCAGCTTAAATTAGACATTGAAGATTGTAGTAGGCAAAGTTAGGATAATGCCTGTAACATGAGTAGAGCAGATACTGGTCTTCAATAGAGAATCAAACATTATGCCAAAGAAGCTGAATATGTATCTTACTTGGCACAATCACTCAGTCTTTTTGGTAATTGGGCTGTGTAATCATGTGCTGAAGGAGTGCCTTATTTTGGATGGTTTAGTGTGTCTAATATTATAATGTGATGGTCAATCCCACTATTCATTGGTAAAAGAGTAGCCCAAGAGTTGGCAGTGGGTGGTAATGACTAGCTGCCTTCCCTCTAGTCTTACACTGTTAAATTAGGGACAGCTAGTGCAGATAGCCCTTGTGTAGCTTTGCACAAAATTCAAAACAAACTCAGGTTACTAAAGCTTGAAAATCATTGTTCTACATTATTTTTATTTTTCCATAAATTGATTTCAAAAACAATTAAAAGAGTAGTTCTGAACTTGATAATGTAATAAAAAAGTTACACTCTGTAAAGGAATGTATATTTTAAGAGTTGAATTTTGTACCTTGCATCCTGGTGGTAAATATCAATCAGTCCCTGGTACACTATGTATTGAGAGGGTAAAATGAGCAGAAGTAACTGAAAAGGTACCTTTTTGGCTTATTCAAGTATAGATACATGTACACCTAATCCTCAATATATATTTTCCCTACCAGATTTTGTCTATATGAACTTTACAGGTTAGTTCAGAAGTATGATGAATAATTTCTTTTTATAGCAGGTATAATGAAGCTTCATGGGATTTTTGTTGTTAATGATTATAGATTTTATTAGTTATAAAGTTTTTTATATAGTTTTAGAACGAGTCATAACTGAGATATTTCTTATGATTGGTTTGTATTATTGTATTTTCTTCACAGTCCGAGCATGGAGTATGACAAACCACACCAATGTTGTAATTTATAGAGGCCATGCTTATCCTGTCTGGTCTCTGGATATTGGGTAAATAATACTTTATAAATAACTTCAATGTTATAAATGACTATGCATTTATCAATAATCAGCTGATCAGTAACATAATGATTCTGTTGACAGTGGTTTATTTTTCTTTGACTGTCCATATTTTAGGAATGTTTTATTAAGTTACTGCTGACCATAAATTAATGGCATATTTCAGGTTGTAGTCATATTAAAAGTCATACTTTAATCATATAAGTTAAAGAGAACTATTATATGCCAGTGAAAAGTTAGTTTGTTTTTATGATGATTCAAATTTGATTTTCAGTTATTTTCTTTCCTGATGTAAGGTTATGATTAGATGCAATAGATTATTGCAAAGGAGAAAAATTGTTTTTTAAGTTTTATGATCAGTACAATATCATTCTAGAATGCAACTGTGTTATATTTGTTGGAAAGTAAATTTCTTTTAAGCATGCAGGTTAATTTCTTTTTTGAGGAATGGGAAGACAAAAAACGTAATTATAAATAGTGTAAATATGGCAATATATTTGGGCTGGGCATGGTTTAGTAATTAGTGTGCCTAACTGTGAATCCAAGTTTGCATCTCATAGCCACAAAATCTCACTCTGCACTTTGGAGGCCATGTGCATTATAGAGTGGCAACCAAGTGTCACTATTTGACTACACTAGTCCAAGAGTTAGTGGTGGGCACTGTTAGATATATGCCATTCCTCTTGTCTGTCTGTTGTAAATTAAGGACAGATAGTGAGGTAGCTATTGTGTAGTTTTGTGCAAAATATTAAACAAGCAAAGGAACCATATACTTCGGTATAGTTTTGTGAAGGCCTACCTTGATTGATTGGATGGAGAAATGTTTGTATTCCATGATTCTATTTTATTGCATTATAACCAGAATAATGTAAACCTAAAACATTGACTTTGAAGATAAATTGTGTAGTTCAATTTAAATAGTATTTTATGTAAAATACTTAAGTTGAATTTTCCCAATGGAGACCTATTTTTCACAGTTAAAAAGAAACTGCACAATATATTTACTTGTTGGACTGAAAAAGCGATGTATCTTCATTTTTAGGAATTTTGTGGAAAATATCATTTATTCATATTTCAAAATATGAAGTAATTGTTATTGTAATAGAAACTAACCAAAGGCAAATAATATTGTTTTTCTTGTATATAGATTATAATAACAGAGATGTTTCCACATCAGTACTATATAACCAAAAATTTCTACATATCTTGGTGGATTTGCCACTGTTAGACAACAAATACTTTAACAAGACTGATTAATATCACTGTTTCAAGCATAATTAGTTCTCTTTCCACTGCTCTGTGATGAAAAATGCTATCCAAAGGAACTTCATATCTGTGTATAGAAGACAGGTTGATGTAAACTTTGTCTTTTGCTAAATCTTTCTTTAGATTTCTTATTAGATTTTTATTTCTATTACTCCTGTTAAATAATTTTATTTTTTGCTTTTTTTTTCTACTCAAACTTAAGCTGTTTAGAATAGGTTGTTCACATTGAGATTAAAAACAATTTTTGGATGTTTTTGAAAGAAACTTGATATGCTTAATATGAGAAAAAAAATATTTATCCATGGATATTAATTAAACCAGGAAACAAATAAAGAAAATAACTGTCCCAATTATATTAAATTCCCTTTGTGATTTTTTTTATTAACAGTTAAGTTATGATTAAAATAAGGATATGGGGTATCTTGTATTTAAAATGGGCTGAATTTCACTGCTTAAAAAGTATGAATCAAACATCCTGTTCTCTGATGAACTTATTTACAAATCATCAGCTGGCAATTATTTTTTTAGTAAAAAAAACTCAAATGTTTATTGATTCTATTGTGATTAGAATGTGTCGTTTTCTTATAGGCCATTAGGATTTTATTTTGCTACAGCATCTAAAGACCACACTGCAAGAATTTGGACTACAGACAGAACATATCCTCTAAGGATATTAGCTGGACATAACCTAGATGTTGATGTACGTACTGCATATTTTTCATTCGTTTGTTTCCCCAAATGTATATTTTCATTAATGTGGTACTTCACAGTAAACATATAAAATCTGGAAATATGTTCTGTTTGAAATATTTTGTTAAGCAATTAGAATATTGTATAAAAGTTACCTACAAACTGGAAAAGCAGTTACTTCAATATTGTTTTTCTTTTTAGGTTCAGCACCAAAGAAAAATCCATCTGAAATTTATGGAAAAACTTTTTTTTGGCATATTTTCTATATTAATTTTTATATTGTTGTAACTATATGTTTATTGGATTCATGATATTAGCCAGTCATTTTTGTTCATAAAAGAGAAATTAATTAACTTCTTAGTTTGATTTACTAACACATAAACATGAAGCCCAATCTATCATTCAGTATATCACTAGTCACTGAGGTATATCTTGTCAGTAACTTTAGACAAAGGCAAACTGAAAGAATAAAACTGGGCTTTATACAGTGGTTGAGTATATATACTGTTCCATACAGTTCAAAACAAACAAGTTACAGCTGAAGAAGTTCATGAAAATGTTAGTTCCAGATTTTTAACAAAATAAGCTATTATTTTAGTGTTCCTTTGCAGTAGTCAAAAATTTTAGGAATGGTCTTAAGGCTGAGGAAAGTATTTTTTCAGGTGAAGCATTATGGGAAATGTTTGGTTTAAATATCTTTCTCGCAACAGTCATTAAGTAGGTAATCGTCAAGTGCTGGAGGTTGATGAGGTATCTAAAAATGTTCTTAATTTTGTTTGGTCAATTCAGTGGGTTTGTGACTTTGAACATATCTGTGTGTCTATATATATGCATGCACACATACGTGTATATATATATTTTTTTTGTTTTGTTTTATCAGTGTGTAAAATTTCATCCAAATGGAAACTATGTTGCCACTGGTTCCAGTGATCGAACTGTTAGACTTTGGAGTGTTCAAGATGGAAAGATGGTCAGGATGTTCCATGGTCATAGAGGCAGTATTTTTGCCCTAGCGTTTTCTCCCAATGGACAGTACCTGGCTTCTGCAGGTATGTAGGTTCAAGTTTATCAATGAAATAAGACTAAAGTTGCCATTTTGATTATATTAAAATTTTTGTATAACATGTAAGAAAACAAAGGATATGTTAACCACGAATCAACTGATATATATAAACACACACACACATATATGTTTGTGTACATACCTACCACATCAAATAACTGAAGCATATTTTGTTGCTGATTCAACTTCCTTGGCTCTGCTGCAGGTGAAGACAGGAGGATAAAAATCTGGGATCTTTCTTCAGGATTGGTCATGAAAGAGTTACGGGGACATACAGACACTGTTTACAGTGTCTGCTTTAATAATGACAGTACCGTTTTAGCCTCGGGAGGCTTGGAACATGTGCTCAGGATTTGGGATGTCAGAAAAGGAATTACCCACCATGGAGGACATACTGCTACTGGTAGTACTGCTAGCACAAATCCCAGATCGTAAGTTCTACATAGTGCTATCATTCACACATTTTATACTGTATTTCATATATCTTGGAAATGGTGCATACAACATGTCTACCTTTCTGTTTACACTTAGCGACAGAATAGATAGTCACACTACCCCAGAATTGCTAGGAGCCTTTCCAACCAAATCCACTTCTGTGCAGCTTGTCCAGTACAACTGGCATAACTTATTGCTGGCCATAGGAGAAGGAGTAGAGACACCTAGTTCCTGACTCTCCTAAGGTGGGTTGTATAACAATTCTTAGAACTTCTAGAATTCTGCTGAAGAATTGAAAACTTTAGTGTGAGTATTCAGATCATCTTTAGAGTAGGTTTACTTGTTCAGTAAGGTAATACATTTTTGTTATTTTGTTTTGGTGAGATGTAGAATACATTTCTGACCATATAACTTGAATTAGTAAAGATTTCTTAATGTTGATGATATAATTATTTTCAATGAAAATTGAGTTGTGAACATAAGCTGAAAGACTGCATGTATTTTACCATTTATTTACCTTTGTGAAGAATCAGTATCATATAAATGTTGTCATCCACCCCCTATTGTAACATATGGTAAGCAAAATATGACAACTTACAAATTAAAAATGCAATATGTTAATTGAGGCTTCAACTACAATAAGCTACACAAATAATACTTCTAAATTGATCCAATGTTTATAAGTTTCCACTAAAATATGATTCAAGGTTTTTCACTGAATGATAAGAATTTATGATCCATTAAGTGTTTTTTGGGAAGATCATCAAAAATATTATTGTGTACAATGTATCTTTAAGATGAAACAAACTGTTTAGAACAACTGGTGATATAAGAGTATAAACAAAAGTTTAGTGTTACCTTATGAAAACAAATGTTTCATGATATTTAACTACTTACACAAATAATGTTTACAATCTAGCTTGAATGATTTTTACACAAACACTTTGCCATACAGCTCTCTTGCGTGGATTAATTAATTCACTGTAGATAGCAAACACAAAAGTGTCATATCGTTTAAGAGCCGGCTAAAGAAATGTAGTTACATACTACATGACTGTAACAATGGGGTGAGGCACCAAAATCATTTCAGTATAACGTATACAATCTTTTTTTTTACACAATATCACACTTTTTTTACATACCCAAATGTAATCGTGTTGCTACATAAAACTTTAAACCAAAAGTATCAAACTTATAAATTTTAATCTGAACTGCACAATGTCAAATACATATATGTATATAGCCAAAAGAACACTAATTCTACATCAAGAACTTCATATTTTTCTTTAAGTAAGCATGTGGAAATTATAGTGTAACATCGCAGTGTTTGGCTACATCCTTAAGAGAAAATTTTGTTGTTTGGTTATTGATAACCTGATGTTGTAAAACAGTGAAGAAAACTTTTTACCCTTTATATTTAGTATTTCATTCACAAGTTTCCTGAGGTATCATTTTTGACTAAGCTTAATTTCATGCTGCAACAATGAAGTGAAAAGACTAGAAATAGCTCAAAACATGATTTCAGTAACATGTGGTATTACAGTTTGACCATATTTGTAGGGAGAAGATATGTTTTTCACAGTTGGCAAGCAAGGTGCTCCCAGAGATATTCAACTAAACTCATATCAGGGCTACGAAGTAGCCAGAGAAGAACCTAAAGCTTGTTGCAACAAGTGGCTCATTCTTCCTGCTGCAAATACAAACCCTTTTTGGTATCCAGCAGAATTAAGTTGTTTCTCAACAAATACCATGCCAATTTTTCCAACATCCAAAGCAGCTGTGCTGAAATGCTTGACCAACCTTTCACTATAGTGATAAATCTGTTTAAGGTGTTTGGTGAAAGTTAAGCATCAGAGACCTCCACATGTTCCTGTACTTTAAATTGATTTTTACAATCCAGTTTATGCAGAATACATTGATCTAACCTGCTAAAAAAGGCTGGTTCTGTGACCATTGATAACTAGCAGCTCTAACTATTGATTTACAAAAATGAACAATGATGTTATTAAGTCTTCTTTATAAATCCAGTATTTCTTACTATATTTAACTACGTATATTTGGCCATTTACATTATTGTTTAAGGTTCTCATGGTGCATGCTTGAGAACAGAGTTTAGCACAAGTTTTATTTTTAACATTTTGACAAAAGCTCTGTTGTTTAAGTATCATATTTGCTAACATTACTAATATTCTGTGGACAAAAGCATAAAAGAACAAGCTGTATTTTGAGTACTTTTGTAATGGGGCATTTCTATGTGAAATATTAAACAAATTCAGATTTTCATAGTACTTTCTTTCTTATAGAATATAAGCTATTACTTTGATATATCCAAAGCTATTGTAAATATACTACAGGTAGATAACCCCAATTAAACAACTTAAGACTTTGTTTTACAGTTGTTGCTTTTACCTGACATTTTTGTTTAATTTTCCAGATATCTCCTAAATCAGAAGAATGTGTTCCCACCAATATGTACATATATGAATATATACTTTTCTACAAAACTTTAAACTGTACTTGTGTAATTATCTAATAAAATGTAAAGAAAAAAGTTTGGAGTGATTAACTTAATATTTACTACCTCTGTAAAATTATTTAGGAATATTAACAAATGAAGTAGCTAGTCAGAAACATGTGAGTATATAAATAATCTATCTTAACACTAATCTCAGTCAGGTTGTGACTTTTTTAGTAGCCAGAAATGTAGGTCTGGATGACACAATCTTCTACTTCAACACATTGAAGTTCTTTTGTAACAAAAGTATTTGACCTTTCATATAAATTTTCCAAAGTTAACCATTTAGTCCTTGGGAGACACTCAACGTTAGCAAAAACATATCACTTTAATTTGTAATGAAATTTTCAAGAATGGCAAGTAAAATTAGATAGGTGGGAGAATCAAATATTACCCAGTCCCCATACAAACACCATTATCATTTGTGGTTTTCAGAGATGTTTACAATATTCAACTTGCTATTATATTACAAAAAATACACAAGATAGACAACTAAGAAAGCATTGTTTATTTTAGCATGTTTGAAAAAACAACAAATACAAGTTAGTAATTTACATAATGGGATTATTTGTTCATATAAACATCCTACAACTAAAACGTTTTGTACACTTTAATTATAAACACTGTACATGATGTAACAGACTGAATCTGTGCCACATTATTCCCAGAAAATGTGTTAAGGTGGTCTACCAGAAAATGATAAATTAAGGGACATTTTAATTTTTATATGATGAAAGATATACAACTTTTAAAACAGCATGAAAAACAAAATGCATCATAATAAATATGATAGATGTAATGACAGTTTCCAAATCTAAAATGTCGGTATTTTTTTTCTTAAGCAGAACCACCTACTTTTAACCAGCCACATAGTTTTAAATCAATATGTGAATGAACATAACTTAAGGCTTCATCTACTAAGGCTATGAGAACGTTCTCTTAATTCACTTTTCAACTCTGGAGTTAGACCATTAAGTCTCTGATCTTGTTTATGTAAAAGAAGCTCTGCTGGTAACTTTGCAAAAAATGGATGTTCAAGGGCTTCTGCTAAAGTGATCCTTTGAGATGGTTCATATTCTAACATCCTGAAGATAATGTCAAATAAATGTCTGTGATCTTCATCCTCTCCTGGGATATATCGCTGCATAGAAAAAACAATCTATTACTTCAATGAATACCTGGATGCTTTTAGGAAATAATGTATATTTACATATACACTTAAAAACCACATTCACCAACCATCCATTTTCTAGTGATCATTTTTTTCAAAGTACTTAACAATTACTTCACCAGTATGTATGAAAGCAATGAACAAAAGAACATTTCAGTATAAACAGAATAGGTTTTGATAGAATGGGATAATCTACGATAAGAAATAGTTCTTTGAAATGGTGTATTTAAGTGTTTTACACGAACAAAAAATAAATCTATCATTCTATAGGTATTTGAAGAACTTGTAGCATTCCTCCACAATTTAATTCTACGTATTGTTAGCCGACACAAGGCAGCTGGTACATAATTGAATAGA